TGAGTCCTCACGAGAGTAGATACTTGAAACCAACCTGAGTTGTCTATAAATGTCTAGTAGATGCTGTACAAAGTTTATAAAAATATTAGAACTTAAAAAATGGGTGTTGGTAGGAATTATTTTTTGAGGAAGCATTTTCAATTAGAAAAAAAAAACTAATTTGTGTTTATTTACACGTGCATTGTGCATCTATTCATAACTCAAAACGTCGTCGTCGAGTGACTTTTCAAAAATGGAGTGAATCGCACCAACGATCAGCAGATAGATCATATCCTGGATGAAATGAGCATCGTAGGACGATAGTTTTAATGGCGGAAAATTGGCTATATCCTGAATCAGCTCGCACCATTTCTATTCCAGCGCAGTTGACTTATTCTGAGCTGTCGAATGAAGTATTGAAAATTAACAGTACAGAGTTCCATTTTTAGTTTCTCTAAGACCAGTTTTATGCATGCTTGCTGAGAGTGTCATCAAAATTCAATAGGATCACAGTTATTTTTAATACTGACAAAGATGAACTGAAATGTAAAATTCATTCTTTGTGAAAATCAAAGGTTAAATCAGGATGCACGGCGAAATGTTCGTTAGTGGTTCAAAGAGAGAAAGATTTTTGTGAAATATGCAAAATTCGAGGTAACTCTCAGAATCTCTATCATTATCTTTTGTCTAAGTTTCATTGACTTAGAGAACGTTTAAGAACAAATAACGATTCAGCGTATTAATTAGGATAATTGGTTAAACGCAAATTGGCCTAATGAGTAAACACTCCGGTTGGATGTGATCAGTGTGTATAATACTCAGTGCGCTAACATGGCATAAATCAAGCGCGAACACGAATGGCAAATACGTGATCGAGCGATATATTATTTGTATTCAAACTAGACCTTTGATTAATATGAACGTACACGAAACGGAATTGATTAGAAAATTTCATCGAAATGAACAGTGACGTAATCGTTAGCGGAATAGGTAGAGTAAGTAAAATAGAAGTTATCTCAATTGGTTAACTAATTTGCGATCGAAAAGTTGCTCTGAAAATTTCTAATTCTCTTATAAATCAGTCTAGTACCATACCTACTACAAGATACGTACTAATTTCGTTATAAGAAGAAAACATTTATTTGGTACCAAAACAAACAAAAAAACTCTAGAAATTGTGTATTCACTCATGCACTCGTTATCAAAACCACTCACCAAAGAACTCTCAATTTTCGCCAGGTTATAGGTAAAGCATTAAAAGCGTGTGGCGGGACGGTCGTGACGTCACGGAATTAATGGACGCATTAATCACATGTTACGTGTATTGTGGAAACCCTAAAGAGGTATTAATAAACCAGACTTACTTCTGCGTGATGTTATGTTTGATTTATGTAGACAGTTAAACCCATCTTGCCACTTGATATTGAGTACGGATGATGGAACATCAAGGTAAACAATAAATGGTAGGAATCTAATGTAGTTTTAATACTACGTGCAAAATTGCCGTCGTTGTCGTAATGTGCCGTCGTTTGTACAAATTTGGGACAAAGAAAACCCACGTAAAACAGTCGGTGCATGCAAAATTTAGGAAGGCCTTTGAATTTGTTCATAAAGAAAAAGTTTTCTAGTATCGAGAATCGAGTTACAATCTTGATTTATCTTTTTCCATCATCCGCACTATTACATAAAATAATATACTTGATAAAATATTGAATGTTTATTTACATGACTGTGTCATAACAATGAAATAGCATGTTGCTAAGCAACCATAAAGAAGGTCAGACATGACACGCCTCCGCCGCGATTCCTGGCTGCAGCACTGCTGGCACCAGTGGCGCCGGCAGCAGCTGGTCTAGATGGCGTGTCCAGGTCAGACCGCCGTCCGTACGCACGACATAGTGCAGCTTGCCCAGGCGCTGTACCACTGTGGCAAATGTCCACTTCTGAGCGGAGCTTCCGTAAAGTCTAGCCTGCACTCTGTCTCCACAAACAAAATGTCTTGTATGTGAGGCCAATGTGTCATTAGTTCTCGATGGAGAGGATGATGGGGTTTTGAGCATAGTATGAAGTCTAGTCCTTACTTCTCGGCCAAACATGAGCTCGTAAGCTGAGTGTCCACTAGCGCCAGGGGTACGCCTCAGTCGGTATTTAATCACTAAGAGTTTATCCATTAAGTCGCCTCTCTCCCCCGTCATTGCACGCAGTGCTCTCTTGATGGTCTGTACGAACCTTTCAGCTTTGTAATTTCGGTAGATGTCCAGTTGCAATGTTTGTAATCGGAGCTGTATTTTGTGATTCCTCATAGGTGGATCTATTGTTCGTACGTAATTTCAAGAGTTTCGTTTTTAGAGTAGTGCATAATTCTTCTATTTCGTACCTTATTTGAATTTCCTGTTCTAACAATTCTTCGTCCACTTGAGATTCTATTTCTTCTTGTGTTTCTAGAAATTTTTGTAATGTATTTTCCAATGACTGTAGTCGTGATTCAATCTCTTCGTTACATAAGTTTTCATGCAAGTTTAGGTAATTTTCTGTTCGTGTAAGGGTTCCTCGTAGTGCAGCTCGCACTCTAGTGTAGTTTTTATTTGAAATCGGCATCCTGTCGCCAATTTATTACATAAAATAATATACTTGATAAAATATTGAATGTTTATTTACATGACTGTGTCATAACAATGAAATAGCATGTTGCTAAGCAACCATAAAGAAGGTCAGACATGACACGCACAAAATAACACGTATGAATAACGAGAGCCTTTTTTGGTCCCGCAAAATACGTGGTAATAACTCTCTGGGATCCATCGGTAACATTTTATTAAATACCGATGTCGAGATGTGAAGTTACCGATCTCTGGTACAGTCCGGGCAAATAGTATTTGACCACCAAAATAAAGTTGACTAACGTTGAAAATGCTTTTCAGTGTCTCTAGTGATTATAAATACAGGTATTGTTGATTGCAAACTGATAATATTGCGATCTTTGTGTCAGATCAATATCTAGTTCAGTAGATTCGTACTAAATGGTAATCAGATATGCCCAATTCAATTGGCGTGCAGTGTACTCGTGGTGCGTGACGCAGCGTGCGTGTCACGCGCGTGATAAGCAAGATTGATGACGTCACAGTCGCACCCGCGACATTAGCCTACTTGTTGAGCGTTGACGACGGTTAGCGCCCGATGTTTTTATTAAACGACATAATGTCCACGTTTGTAGCGTTAGGGTTCTGACACGCATTCAAATGATATTAAAATATCTGTGCTGAACTTTCAGTTGCATTTTTCATATGTTAAGTATATTTAAATTTTCATGCTGGATTGGGAACTGAAACCAATTGGGTACTGTTCTAGTTATAACATAATAAGTATACATACCTATCCTGTGTGTCCGAACGGCCACCAAAACAGGCTTTCTTAATCTTGTTTCAAGCCTTGGTGAATTCAATAATGTGACTAATAAAATTGGAATAAAGCTACCTACTTACATCATTTCTTTCAACTGAAAGTCGTTAGTTGATGGACAAAGAGCCCCCACGGATTTCAATGCCTTTTGTCTAAACATTTTTTTGGTGATGGTAACCCTGCGATCTGGCACGTCAGCTTAATGTAGGTAGAATGCTGACTCGAGTGTTGTCATCAAACCAAATTGACAGGTCGCGTAATGTTGATTTTGCAACTATTAACACTGGATAATCAGCGTTTCTATTAAATAATTTGCATGTTAATACTGTGGGATAAGCACTTGGAAACAGCTTTACATTTAGAAATGTCATGGGTCTCCCCGTATCTTGGGATAATGCTCAGAGTTCCTACCTATCTAATAAATAATTAGGTATATTTATAACAATGTCCCGTTTAAGTTCATGACAAAGTATCGATGGACATTTTACAGCCTAAGAGAGAGGAAGAGTAATTCACTAAAATATTAAACAAAATGATGATATTGTATTTAATTTCTCAAGTAACAATAATAATTGTTCCTTAGGGATTTCATTCATATCATAAATAATATTAGAGCTTCAAAACAAATTGACGGTTGAAGTATTTATTCTAAATTAAACAGTTCGCTTACGTTCCTATTTGGCCTTTTCTAAATTGATAAACTTCAGACGTACCTATTCACAAAGTTCCCTATTGATATTAAAGTAATTTAGGGTAAAATTGACTGACTCATTATGGTTTAATGAATAAGTACTCATAATAACATAATTTCGGAACAAATTTAAATCATATCCGTCGATGGAAAATTAACTTAAGGATTTGGAGAAAATCTATTGTGAGAAATGAAATTACGGTTTCTTGAGGTTGCATAGGACCGTTCTTTCGCACGTCTAATAAAATACTTCCAAAACGAACGTTTGATCCTCATTTGACGTTTACGATGCCTCACCGGATATTGAGGGTTATCGAATTCCGGATAATGTAGTCGGCTGCGGAAGGCGCGTAGACAACACAATGTGATATGTAGGTAGGTACTTACTCATATGTAGAACTGTCGAGTGATGAAAGCTCGCAACATTGTGTAGATCATAGCGAAATGTATTTGCTTCAAAGTTCAAACATACACAGAAATGGTATGAAATTATTTTTTTATTTGGGTTGGTGGTGGTATTTAAACATGCATGCCTTCTTGGTCAGACATCTGAAAAATTCGTAGTTTTTTTTTTCATAGACGTAACAGTGCCGCCTCTTTGGCTGCGCGATACTGGCCACCAAGAAAACTGCGTTCTTTTTCTTGACGACCAATTTCGCTATTCTTTTGTTTTTTTCTCGCTCTCGTCTCTCTTTTCACGAATGCGTTTCCACGGCTCGATTTTGACAATACTTACTGTAAATTAATATATCCATGACTACCACGAAGCACGTAACACAAGATTTAAGCCCTTCGAGCTATCACACTTGTAAATATGTAAATGTTTTTTAAATATTATGTTATTGTGTGACTAGAACATTAAATTATAATTAATATCTTTGACCAGCTTTACATAAGATTTAATGCTAATATTGTTTTTCCTTTGTTCCAGTCATGTCGAGGAGTTGTGCGATCGTTCTGGCGCTGTGCGGTTTCGCAGCAGTCACCACCCTGCCCGGTTCCACTGCACAGGCCCTCAGTGCATACGATAGTGAGTAACAACAACCTATTATTCCTATAGTAGTTTAGATAGGGGGAGACTGGGTACGGTTGTAACAACTCGAATGTTATCGAACTATGGAGTCTTCCAGGCCCACGGGCCAAGTCGCTGGATTGATTATTTTTATATTTTTTCTTCCAGTAACTGGGCCCACCTTGAATATTTTTTATTAATTAAAATAACACCAAATCAACAAAAATCTATTCTAGAATATTAAAGTGGGCCCAGTCACTGGATGAAAAAATATTTAAATCGATTCGGATCGGATCGATTGCTGAAACTTTCAGTTTACTTATTTTATAAATATTTATGTTCCCAAAACAACACTCTTACCGTAATTAGTACCTACTCACAGCTTTAATTATTTTACATCGATCCCGCAAGTAAAGAGAATAATGTTTATTAATGCAGCTTTAAACTTATCCAGGAACGGTTGTCAAAGAAAGTTTATACATTTTATAAGACACCCCATTTTCCTTGGGATTTTCAATAAATTTTCCCGACTTTGAAATTCATTACTTATACCTAGACTCTCTGAATTTATTACTTGTAAAGACAGGAGTCTAAAATGTAAATCTTGGGCATGCTTACAGACAGTTCTGTTTAGTTGTTGTATGTTTTTAAAATGCATGTAGGTTCTAAGATTTATCGATGTTTAAGGATTCATAAAAAAAAATTAAGAAGAAAAACCTGAGTAAAAAACAACCAAGTAAGTTTTTTTTGATTTGCCATGAAAGTCGGTCGTACATAGGTTATTGTATGTTTTATAACAAGCAATGAAGAACGACTCATTTTCTGAAACGACACTCAAAACTTGATTATAACTCAAAAATTAGACCCGAGCTTTTGAGCTTTCAATCTATTAACACTCGAGCATGTCGTCCTTCGCATGACTAACTATCCTATCTCAGTCTTTTGGCGATTTGATAACTCAAGTCCTAACGGACTACAAATTTTTTCCTGCTTCCATTGTCTACGATTTTCTCTAACTCACCTCGTACCATGTACCTACTTTTACTCCCGTAAAGTATAAACAGAAACTAAATTTGAAATGACCTACTGAAAACCCGTGGTTTTGAAAAAGTGGCAAAACTGAGAAAGAGAGTTGGTCATGTAAGGGACGATGTAGAGTCGTCTCAAAATGAACAAAAACATATCAACAAAAGACAATCGTCACGTCATGTCAGGGCGCAGGGCCTGTGTACTTTCGCCTTATCAGTGCACACAATCACAGCATGACGCTGTTAATCTGCGCGACCACACAACAAACACTGTCTCCGCTAAGAACATAACGTGTGGCAGTAATCGCCAGGACAAACACGGTAATCCGCGCCTCGCCCTGTTGGCACGAATCCTATTAGTATTAGCTGATAGTTACACCTGGAGTTACTTTTATTACAGTCCCAGTGTTACAACGCGTTTTTACGAGTTAATATTTTTTTTTAGTATGAAAACTGTAAAAATCAAAAGAGTTTGAATAAATATTTTGAGCAAAACCCGCTTACGTATTTTATAATGTTTTATCTCCGATAACATTATTTCGTTAGTTAATTAATTAGTTAAAGAGCAAAAAATGATTTTTGTTTGAGTGACGTGTCCTTACAGACTGGTTGCTATTTACGTGATAAGTAATCCCAGGTGAAAGACACCTTCTAGCTGTTTAAAGTAGGGCGAGTTAATTTGTCATTTATCATAGCTGATTTTTTTCAGGGAGGACTGTAACTAGTGATAATTATTTATTGCCTAAAACTTGTGCCTAACAAAGTCCCATAAGTATTCTAAACAAAATAAAGGACAGGTAAATACGGGTCTTACCACAGCAAAGTTTGAGGCAGCCCGTATAAAAAATCAAACAATACTAATGGTAACTTACTCGTAGTTTTCTAAAGATCTTTATAGTGCTTAAACATTGTCGAACACGAAAGAATATCTTTTACTTACGAATATGCTTGTTTATGATCGATGTGATCGTCAATCATCATCAGAAAACTCCCTACTTTTGTAATCTAATTTGGATGCATAATTAAGTTACCAATATCGTGTTTAGTTCAATAAAGAACTGTTCTGCCTCAAGTTAATGAATTCATTTGCATATTCCATTGTGAATACAAGACAATTACAAACCTGAGCGACGGCGGTCTCATCTTTGTAATTGTATTGTTGTCACTTTGCTAATGAATTCACTAAAAAGTGTGTAATTGTTACAATTATTTTCACTTAAAAGTGCGTACCTGTCAGTCATTTCACTATGCATTAGTTAGTATAAAATAGTTATTTTAAATGCAACTCTGTGACAATTCCATGTCCGTTTAAGTCTCTATCTAGGTACATTTCATACTGGAGTCTAGAGACACTAGAAGCTAGTAGAGACCAATAGTCTTTTAGTTTTGATTAGTTTGTGTTAAAAACTACTTAATATAGTTTTTTAAAGAGTCATAGGTAAGTTATGCACTGTTTTCACCGACTTGACTGATAAGTATTAGTGAGAAACAAATAGTTTTAATAGCATGCTGCCGCCGCATTAGACCTCATTATGCATTGCTCAGTGGTTAATAAATTTTCTCTGAACGCTGTTCCTACGGGACAGCCTTCGCACTGACCTTTTAAGGAGACCAATCTTAGATAACTCCCTTTGCTTTAAAATATATGTTTTTTTTATAATGAACAAAATTCATTGATGTAGACGCTTTAATTGAGTAATCAGGATAAACATACACCTACCAGCAAAGTACCCATTCGGCGATATTGTAGTTACCGCAGTATGAACTATATGAAGTCTTCTTGCCTAACATCTAAGCATAAATTAGTGAGTAGGTGTGCCGACTACTTTACCCAACCTCATTTCATTATATCCTTTAATAAAGTCCGCATTCAATCAAATTAATCATGATTAGCATATCAAACTTACCATAACATTGTTACATACCGAACTAGTCAAAATATAGTTAGTAAAACTAGGAATCCTCGCGTTCCTAATTACTCCAATTTAAACCATCACCAAGTTTCCATCCCAAGGAAGCATTCCACATGATACTTAGGTAGGTACATAAGTTGTGAGTGTTGCCAGTGTGCATTTTTACTAGCTACTGATTTAACGAAGTAAATCATTTTGAAGTTTAAAACTTGTGGGAGTTTTGAAATTAGTTAAGCTGTCTCATTTATCACGATAGATTTATAGTGTCCAACTTTGGTGGAAAGTATTACCTACTGTTTGATTAATAAGCATCATTGTTCAATGACTCTACAGCACATAACTATGTATGTATTTACTATGTATTTTTTTATCAAATAGCGTACTATATTACAACTAGATAAGATGCTTAGTTCTTTGACTTGACGTTTTATCATACGTATACGATTTACAGTAACAGAGATAACCGTAGCTTTAAAGAAATATCGCATTTCAACTTTCAACTTAGTGATTTTAAATTGGTTTCTATACCAACCCAATTTAATTCCAGAATAGGATTTTCAATCAAAACTATCTCCAAAGAAGTGAAAGAATTTATTGATCAGGTTCTCAGGTTATGGACGGGCAGGGGTACCTATACCTAATTCATGTCAATGGGTCGCTTCACTTGGCCCTCCGACAACAATACTGAGGGCTCTTCCAGCTTCCTTAACTAGGAACGATTAAGTTTCAGCCACTGAGAATGTTTGGCGAAGGACCGTTGACATTTCTACTAACCCAATATGTCTTGCGTGGGTTAATAGTCGTCTTTTGTTGAAGTAAGACTTATTTAAGGTACCTAGGTACGATTTAAGAAAAGTGGTCTGATAAATACAATAGGCACTAAACACTACTTGTGGTTTGGTAAAAAGAGTGATTTTTATTACTCGTTATTCGAGTTGCGTTTATTATAGTTCATAATAGTCCTCCGTAATTTGGACACAAATCATAACTTGTCACTTTTTTTGAGCTGACTTTTGTCACTTTTTTAAGATTCTACCGTAACTCATGCTTGTATCTACTTAGCCGTAATCGTGACGTAGTAAACATAAAAATTTTGTGCAACCCTTTCACTAGGTTAGTAGGTACGTAGCGCATTGAAATATTTAATTTAGGTATGTATGTAAGTAATTTGTTCCCAAGTTCCATTTTGCGCCCTACATACAAATAATTACGTTGAGATATCACAAGACTTTACTAGAAGTGTGTATTATACACGTATTATCCACATCCATCATCCATTCTTCTTTGTATGACTTGTCATCACGGACTTGTGAAATTCTCGTATCGTTTGTAGAGAGACGTTTTCATTCAGCACTCAATCGAGCTCACCGATCAATGTAGATGGATATCTATGAGATAAAAGAACTAGGCTCAGCGTTTATCCCAACATGTCTAGAGAGTAGAGAGCATAATGCTACTGTAGTGAGCTAGAGTCATAGACTGATCACTCTTCTTTTCAAATAGGACTCATATATGTATTCTAATTGATTAGGACATAAACAGTCTATTATACTTATCTACTTAGCATATAATAGTATCCTATCCTGCTAAATTAATGGCAATAATTTCGTTTGGTTAAATATGAAGTAAGAAATAAATATGCGAGCGAATAAGCCGATAGTTCTCGTAATTTTCCATGCTCATGTAATCCATGTATTTAGAGCTTGCTATTAATTTTAAAAAAGGATACCTACCTACCTGCAATTAACTTTTCAGATGAATAAACAAAGGTTACTTATATTGCATCCCCTAAAAATATAGAAATGAAAAATATCAGATCATTTTATTATAAAAGCAAACCGAGAGCCAAAAAAGAGAGTGCTGACTGCTTTCTCCTTTGAATTACTTCACTTTACTTACAGAGGGTTTTTAGCAGAAGATATTCGACTTAATATTTAAGTACAAATAGCATTTTTTTATAAATTCGGAGGAATCCAGATAAAATAACTTACATTTTAGGAATCCTGTAAAATTTTCTTTAACAAAGTAACACCTAATTGTAATTACAACAGTCAAGAGAAATAGTTGTCTAATTTCGAAACTTCGAATCTTACTTAATAAACCATCTAAACGATAAAGTTGTAACAAGCAAATAATGATTAACTAAAATTCATAGTTAGGTACTGTTAAGCCGGATAACTTTTGGCTCCCCAAAGCCCTTGTCTCAATAAAACTTACAATACAACTTTATATTACTTGGTATCTATCGGATTAATAATGTAATATGATTCCCTCGATTTTCTTCGAGATATTGATATCACAAATTCAATTTCATCACGAATTCATTACCAACTCAATCTATTTTTGATTCATGAAATGAAGTAGGTATCACTGTAAGTTTTAAATTACTTTCTCATTTATTTTAACTTATTGGTTATCTGACATAAAGCTTTAAAAGTTTGGTTTGGTTTAAAGTCAGATTTAACAATCCACGTATGATTACAAATATAATATTCAGGGTTGAGATAAAAATGAGTTAATACTTAGCAAATTAATATTGTAATACTGTTTCAACAAAGAATAATCGCCAAAGCACGGGCATTAGATACCTTCTTTGGGAACGGTTAAACCGTATCGGGAAACTTGGGCGAAAGACACTAGCGCGAATGGACGTTTGCGCGAAAAGTCATCTTGAACCAATCAAGATTTTATAAAACGACATTTGTAAGCGCTCCTCTCGTTCCAAGTTGAACTTCCAACCATTGCAACTCCAGTACTTACTGTTTCGGCTGTTCCAGAGATCACTTCTCACAACCTCATAAACTTGGCCTCTTATTAACATTCTCATGTTTGTTGCAGCATCAGCATCCGACAGCCGTAGCTCATGGGACGCGCTGGGCGGCCTCTACGCGTTGTTAGCCCAGCACGACGCGCTGGGCGGGCACGCGCTCGCGCGCAAATCCGTGCGCTCGCCGTCGCGCCGCCTGCGCTTCGGCCGCCGTTCCGACCCCGACATGCCGCCTCAGGCTCCGGTGAGTAGATACTCGTACATAGAAACGATGTCCACAGCTGGACAAACGCCTCTCCCAAGGATTTCACACCGAGCGGTCGTACGCTTCCCGTATCCAAGCGCATTCTGCGACCATCACAAGATCGTAGGTCCCAAAACTAAATAGCTTTCAGATTGCATGATCCATAGAGCTTTCAAGGTGGAAAACTTGAATTTTAATATGTCAGTCGTCAATTCTTAACCATTTCATGGACGTCTTTTCATTATTTTTTGTAGGCTGGGGCGTACAAGTTTAATAAAATATTATGTAAATAATAATCTTTTCTCCAATCTTTGGAGTTCAAGTTAAGAGTCCGTTCAAGTATAATTATACAACTCTCTAACCGCTGGTTGCAATGAAGGCAGATTTTGCCCAAGCAATGTGGTATTACAGCACTTCTATGTAGGTACCCACAGATTCATTCTGAAATGAAAAGAGCGAACATTTCTGTCGCGTCCGCTGAAAGCGTGGTTAGAATGTTTCCACGGTGGTTTCTGAGTTGCTGCGCTAATTAAAACCTCCAAGGTTTAACGCTAAACTTTTTCTATTAGAGAGTTGTTTTATCGGTTTATTATTAGTCTGAAGCACTCATAAAATTCTGAGCAGGTACATTATTTTAAAAGCATTTTGATCGTTATTAGTAGGGCGTTCAAGAGGCAGAGGTTTTTTACACCATTTGCTGTTAGTGACGAGCATTTTTCAATTTATAAATTTTAACCATTGATTTTAAATTACAACAACCTACTTAATGAATGCACACACGCAGTGCACTGTTGACTAGGGCCAGGAAAAATGTATTCATGAGAACAATACTAACGTAAAAAATGTGGCTAATTTTTTACAATATGGGAACAATTTATAAAAGTGCGGCATTGAATAGGCGTAAAGGGATAAGAGCTTTTAACATTTTTGAAACGGGTGCTAAAATGTTTAATCTTCAAATATTGTGGTCTACTCAACCGCTTTTCGAGTGGGTTACAAATTTACTTTTATTTACCTTCCCCTAAAAACTGTGCATTGCCCTAGGCTTGTACGGCACTGAAAACCTTTTTCTTAGAATGCTAGTACATATAAAGCTCGTAAAAAATGACCTCCCTTAAACCTCAATCTACTGATCGAAAAACTTTACTTACTTCAGCAGTATTCCGACCAATATTTGCTTCCCGAAACTACTTATATTATTCAAATGGTAAGCTTGAAATGTACTTTTGCTGTTAACAATGTTATTAATCTTAGTTACCAAACTTATTGTGAAATTTACTTTGGTTCGGAATATGTCACTGGAGTAATTCCAGGATAGAGTTACAATCTAAGTTAAAACTTGCGAGTAAGTTACAATGGATTTCTGGAACAATAAGCAGATAACAGTTTCCGTCAGCCAGTGACGAAAATGACGTAATGATAGACGTATTGTTTGGCCATTACCATAAGATGCGAATTGTACGATATTGTTCCAACTTCATTCGAGTCTAGTCAGTTGAATATTAATGGAACGGCTACAGTCTGAAATGCGGTTAAAACTTTACAAGTATAATCATAATTCAAGCTACAGCTATCTTGTTTTACGAGTTATTAATAAAATAATGTTTATTCATAAAATGCGGTACGGTAATATTGGAATATTTTGTGAATGAAAGAATTACTTGAAACTAAAGACTAATAAATTATTGTTTTATGAGTAAATACTTTTAAGTTTTTTGCACTCCTCCTCTAATTCAATACAATCAAATAGGATTCCAAAAACTAATTCACTTCGTAGACGTCGGAGGTAATACGAAATCTTCTGGAGCATTCGACATCACACGAGTCGCGGAGAGTGTAAAATTCGAGTCAATCTCAGACAAGTAGTTTGTTCACTCGCCGGAACGCAGGATCAAAGCGATTATGATCAGCCCGGTCAACGGACAAGGTTCGGGGGAGGAATTACGTTCAGTTAGAGCGACACCTAAAATTACTCGTCTAAGCTCCACATTGACTACGCATGGTTACCTACTCCCTTTAATTTAGATGTTCTTTTGATGTCATCTGTAGGGTCTGTACGAATTCTCACAATTTAGCGAATAAGATTCAGACTTGAATCTTAATTAAACTGTATTAGACGAATTTAATTCACAAAAATATCCAAAGTAGTATTTTCTAGTGTTCAGTTATTTTGCTACCAAAATCAGCCTATTATTTATGTCGCAAATGACTCCAGATGCCCTGGAAATTGCTAAAGATAATGCCAGTTTTATTGTTCTCTAAACACCAAAGGAGTTTCGGTTGCTTTAATTAAACGAAATGACTTGTCTAAAAATGTAAAAATCAAATCGTCAGAAAAACCGTCAAAGTTCATTTACCGATTCGAAAGCTTCAAGCTAACACTTCCTCGTGTATTGTACCATAAGGACTATTCAAAACAAAGAAATAAACGACAGAGGCCGTCCTGAAAGGAACGTTATCCGCAGAACGCATTAAATACTCCACATTGGATGGCTATATAATGCATGATAATGATCACTCGCGGGTAATCACTCGGTCGCTATCTGCTAAAAGCAATTTTATTGTCCTACATATTCGGTTGTAAACGGGACTTGCTCCATCTCCGTGATAACTACTCGTATCGTTCTCAAAACAAATGAAATCTTTTCTGGATTCATTTAGAATACAGTAAAGCACATACTGTATTCATGTAGGTACTTACTTTATTCTAGAGTTACGAATTCTTTTTCTTTGAAGCACTTCCTCAAAGAACATTGTGCTCTCTAAATTTGACGGAAGTAGGTAGGTACGAGTACCTACTAAATAAAATACAAAGATAAAATTACAAATGAAAACTTACCAGAATTAATTAGCAGGTTTCATGGTGTAAGCTTCAGAGGAAGATAAATATTTTTTAAATATTTATTCTTTAGATTTAAATAGGTCCCACTACATTACTCTACAAGTACGGGTACCTTTAAGGGGTACCCTTTCTTTGGTGCTTTGAGATTCTATTAATTCCTTATTTCGTGTCCCCGTGATACGGTTTTAATTTCATAATCCACTGAACTCTATGATTCCATTTACGATGGCCATTCATTGTTCCATATCTGATCATGTCACAATGATTTATCAGGACTTGTTTAATCTGGGTTTGTTTGATATTTTATCTCTCTATTCTTTATTAGAAACTAGCGGCCGCCCGCGACTTCGTACGCGTGTATCCTGTTTTACCCCCTTTTCCCGAATTTTCTTTGCTATAAGTAAACCTCACGGAGCCCGAGACCTTTCCAACGAATGCAAAACCGTGGAAATCGGTTCGTGCGTTCTGGAGTTATAGCGTCAGGGAGGAAAACCCGACTTATTTTTATATAGTAGATATAAGCTACCTATAACAGGTATTAGTGTGCAATAACTTAGAACCTGAAAACATCTCTTAAGTGACCCAAGGGTGCTCTAAAAAGGAATTATTAGGGATCTTTGGGACTTGAACATTTATTATACCATGGACTAAGACGCTGATTTTTGATTTTGCTCCTGGTCTATTGACCGTGTTTAACAAGACTAATGTTTTGTTAAACTGGTAATAACTACCAACCGCTTATCGTCTTCATTCCACAAACCAATGTCTTTTAATACTCGTATCTCCTCAAAATTATATTTTACAAGAAACTTTAGGTACCTAAGACCAGTTTAGTTACGAGTACTTTAAAAATAGAATTTGATTCAAGAGAAATCCGGGACATTTCCTTTTATAAGACATACCTATCCAACCTTTGAGCAAACTGAGTCAGTTTGCATCAAAACTCCGCATGGGGACAGCATAAGTGAATTTTGTAAAGTTTCGAAAGCAACAAACACCCTTTCATCCTATTTAATAAAATTCGGTCTTGTTAAACTTGGGATATTGAACCTGACCATATTTCCTTGAAAACTTGTATGTTACAATATTATGTCTTTTAAGTAAAGGCAGTAATTAAAGTTCTAGTCAAAAACTATACTACGATTATGTAGTTTTATAACCACTCAAATTGTGACTGAAAATGGTCTAACATTAAAATGATAAACTGTATTGATTTATAGGCTGGATATGATAGCTTTATCAACAGATGCCGATCCGAATTTTATTTATGTACCTACTATACATAATAAGACGGTTTTTGCTTTCCTTTGTCTTAAAGGTCGATCTTATTTAGGATCTTGGAGTAAAATGTTTCCGGACTACAGAATCCATGGAGCTGGGAAATATTTCCAGTTTGTTAGCTGCAATAGGCTTTTGGGATGTTCCTTAATTACTATAAAATAATCTCCATTAGTCCGATAATATTGTACTAAACACAGCAACCCGAGTTTCTTTGTACAAAATAGGTCGTTAGTTACCCAGATAAGTATCTTCTCAGAAAGTTCAATTTTGAAAGAAATAAACGTTTAGTGTTTCTTGGATTTCACTTACTACGTAGTTACCAACGAAGTTTTAGGTGCAATTTGAATTCTTTTCTTGAAATTTCTTTACTTTTATTCCATTATTATCACAATTAAAGAAATCAGACACGAATAGTATGTGTCTTACCACAGTAGACAGATAGACACCGATATTTTGGGAGTGCTCGGTTCTAGCGAAATATTTTCATAGCAAGCTTTTGTTGGTTTGAAGTAGTGCTAAATTCTTGCTTGTTACGCGGAAGAGCCCTTTTTCAATTCTAAGACGCGTTCCCACTTTCTAGTTTATGACATAGCATTTTCATAATTGGTTAGGAGAATTGTCTGAGCAGTTCTTTTTATAAGTTATTTTATTTTTAGTTTTGGTAAACCTAAATATGTTTTCCTTCTTGGAACAATAAGTTAACCCTTTTTACCAAAGGACTATGAATTTATGTTTCGTGGAAGTTATTGTCGAGAGAGTCTTCAGGAGGTTTTTCTGATGATTCAGATCGATTTAGGATCAGAGTATAGATTAAGTTTGGTTATTGTTCAGAAGTACTATTTCATCTTCAGGAGGTTATTATTCTCAATCTCAATTGTCTATAAATAGTTTAGTTTTTGAGATTACGAGAAGAAAATAGTGATTGAACCTTAGTACTTTAAGATTAGAATTGGAATTTGTAGCAAAAGTAAAACATAAATGTTTGTTTTAGCTTGACGAGATGGACGAACTTCTGTCCCTGCGCGAGGTCCGCACCCCCGTGCGCCTGCGCTTCGGCCGCCGCTCCGACGAGCATGCTGTCCCTCACATCTTCCCTCAGGAGGTAAGAGACAGACTTAGTAATTAAAACATAGAAATACATGCACGGATACTAGCTTTAGTAGGTAGACCAGAGATGTTAGAGGGTAAGAGTAGGCGCACACCGTTGATTTTTCGTCGGCCGATAGTTTAGTCGGGTAGTTGATCAGTATGGGCATGTATGGGAGTGCGCACACTACGCCGATTCGACTTGGCCGATTCTTCTTACAAATTAAAATCGGGCACAACTATCGGCCAACTAAAAACCAACGGTGTGCGCCTACTCTAAGGTAGGTTATTTAATCAACCTAAACCAGAGCCAGTATAACAATATGCATCATTATCATCAACATCATTTCAGTCACAGGACGGCCACTGCTAAACCCGATGATTTCTAGATTCATAATGCTTAAAAAGATAACAAGATTAATATAAACAGTCAACAGTCCATGACTCATCTCATAATTTTTTTCCCAACTGCGCTTATATTCCGGTACCCAAACCTTCTCATCATTAAGAAAAAATATTAAATTAGAAGCCAAAAGAGCAGTGAACCCACTAAATTGAAAAAGTGAGTATTAATCATGCATGCCATGCCTGTAATTTTTATAGAAAAGACGCCGAGTATGTTGAAAAGTTTGTCGATTCTGAAAATATTTCGCTTCTAGTTCGTAAAGGCCATCTGAGATAATGGAAAAACGGTAAAGAAAGTTATGAATGCTTTTATACTTGCCTCAAAACATTTTGCATAAATCCTGGTGGGAAAAGATGTCTCTCTGTTTCCAATAAATATTGGTGAAACTTTTTCTGAATAAAAATAGTAGATTGGTTTCAATTCCCGACGGGATGCTTCTGTGGGTGTATGATTTTCCAAAGAGTTTTTAATGCGGGAGTTATTTTCGGAGAATGGATAATAATATGTCTTTTTGTCTTTGGTTGATAAAGTACCAACAACTTATAGAAAGTTAAACATTTTAGTTTAGTTTTGTTTTACATAGAAACAGTGTGACGAGGCAGTAAAAAGCCATTCGGTTTAATGTGTTTTCAATAAATGAATAAACATACAACAACGTAGGTACTACCTAATAAATAAGGTTATAACAAAAATAATATGCTCCTTTTTGAAATTATTAATGTTACATTACAATATAAGCTTGTTACGGAAAAGTGTAATGTGAATTCTTTTATGCAATATTGTACAGCTCCAAATCCATCCTGTGTATTTGTTTGTTTGAACTTCTTTCCCTGAGTTTTTTACGACTTAATCAAATTAAAAGGTTCAAAGTATTTTCAAGGTATATCGTACGAATAGAATCCTACAATACCTGTAGAATAGAATAGAAGACATTTGGAATCGGGCCGACGCAGTCGTAAAATCCTTGATGCGGTGTAAACCCGTAATGAAGTTATTCGCCCTAACAAGCCACTATTCCCTTTTACGACGATTGCCGCGGTTTATGACGAATGGTACCATTTTGTAAAACATCACATGTGCCATACTTCATCGCGTAAAGTTTACTTAGTTGCAATCATCGTTGGATTCTCTCGCTGTTCTTGACCATTTGATTCTCTAGCTAGTGTTGTGCCCATTTTGAAACATAAGTCAACTCGACTGTCCGAAAATGAATGATTTCGCTGTCAGCATCCTAAGATGGCTCATCATGTACCACTTTAATATGACCTTAATCGTTGCACGGCAAACTACCACAAACTGTAGGTACGTGGCAAGAACCATTAACAAGAAATCTTCAGTTTATTACATTTCGTAAAAAACCTACATAACAACCTAAACGTGTCCCTTGTCGTATCTAATGCGGTCCCTGAAAGTCAATGAAATCTGTCATCTATTCTAAGTTATTTCTTGTATTTGCCTAGTCTTGTTCATTAATTTTCTTGGTATATTTACTGAAGGAATATTGTTTCAGGAACAAGACCGTGCTGTGCGTGCTCCCTCGATGCGTCTGCGATTCGGCCGTCGGTCAGACAACAACATGTTCCTCATGCCTTTCGAAGTAAGTTTCATCTCATTTTGACACATACGAGTTAATAATGTTGTTTGACAAAATACATATTGTAAATAAGAAATAAGAAATTTTGGTGAGATAGTTACCTACTTCTTCACGCAAAAATTCTCGGACATAATAATGAATCTTTACAAACACTATGAAATAAATACTGAAGTTGGCAATAGGCACAAGCAAATAAAGGAGGGCACCTATTTCATGGAATTTACTTAGGCAACACACTCACTCCCCTATCTAAAAATATTCTATTGCTCTTGGTCTTTGCCTTTATATGATAAAACTGAAGCAGCGTCTACGGCTCTCAACAAAAAATAAATCGCACAAAAGGTTTGGCGATGACAGGTGCTTTTTACGTAATCTCGCCGTAGAAAAACGCCAACACAGATAAGGGCAGCCTTCTGGTTCTCAATTCAATTATTCTATTGCCTTATAGATTTACACTTGAAGCTTTGTTATGCGTTATTACAAGTATTCAATTGGATATTGGATGTTTTCCATTTGGGGATAATCTCTTTCTTTAGTAAACCTAAATGTTTTCCGAATTGCCAACCTACGCAGTGCTACATATTATTTATCACAGCCTTATTTCCAATATTTTTCTGACGTAGATTCGGATAAAATTCTTTCTCGCAGGAGGCGTATTGACTAAATTGTTTTGTTCCAGCCCTCCCTGCCCAAGGAAGTGAAAGCCAGCAGCTCCATTGAAGACGACAGACAAGATTAAGCCTCCGAACTCGCCGCTCGCATAGTCATATCCACTCCGTACAACACACTCAATACTCTAAGGCCAACCACTTACTTATCAGAATAAATATCAAATTTAAATTAAATGTTATTCCGTACTCGTAAGTTATATGTACATAATCAGTCGTTATAAATGTTGTTGACACCCGCTCTCTAAGCCTATCCCTTTTCGTATTTAATGAACTGTGATTATCTCGATACTGTAACTTTTCACTCGAATACTCAAATTTCATATTTTATAGATACTTACAGATGATATTCTAGTCAATATTATGATTAAGACTGTCTGTTATGTTCTTCAATCTCTGTATTTTTATTGTTGTAGGACCTCAGCGAAGAGTTATACATTTTTAGAGCTGGGCAAATGTAAAACTACTTCGCTTCGTAATTAACTTTCTACTTACTACTAAGTTACTGCAACAGTATTTAAATGTTGTACTTAATTCAATGTAAATCATGGCGTAATTATATTATACATTAAGTGTAGTGAACTATGTTTAATTTTGTATAGATATTAAATAGTGCAATTGATGAGTTGAAATATAAAATATTGACGATGGAATAAATGTGGTTTTATTATACTCAATGGTTTATTGTATAACCATAAAAGATGGGAAGATAGGGGTTGATGACAAATGTATTCTACTCAGCCGTCACCACACGCGGGTGTCGTAAGATGCGACCTAAGAACTACACATTAAACAGAGAACGGGCAGCAGCGATCTCTGATAAACATTAATCTTTTAAACTGCGATCTCCAATCCGTCTAAAAGAGGCAGTGAAGGGCCATATAGTCCAGCAGTGGCTATTGATGATGATGATGATAAAAGATGTACTCAATCTTCATTTATGCATACGCATTAACCTAAGCATAACTAGGTTACCTATTACATTATGATAAAACAATCCATTGGAGTTCGCAAAAACTTTCAGGAAATGCATTTCTTCCATGAAGAAGCGTATAAGGGATAAGAAAAACAAAGCTAAGTAGAAATTGATAGTTACCTACCTAGAGTCTTAATGATGCGTGTTGAATCAACTTGCGTCCCTTAAAATTACCTGTCATGTTTCGCAAAAGACACTATACATACCTATAACAAGGAAGGACGTTAAAATATACTGTTCATGGTTAGCACTTGAAGTACCTACTTCCAGCGCAGATCGAAATAATAAAATTCAAAGTGAAGAGCACACGTCTGTCAGAAAACTATTTTCGTCGCAATATTAAAAATTCCGCACTGCCGGGAATGTGTGGTTTTTGTTTTTCTCCGTGTTGTCAAATAACAGAATTTTTCACAAGTGAAGCGACGGGGCACGTAGTTGGTAAGTCACTATGATTTGTCATACCAATATTATAAAGTGTAGTTTGTAGGAAGTCATCTGATTTTGAAAATTCTTTCAACAATAATAATGTTCCATAATAACACACTATATTCTTTTGTGACTGATGGAAATTCACTCAACTTCAGTCGACAAAAGAGTAACTTATAAAAAGTCAGCTAGATATTTGCTCTAGGCACTAACATTACAACTAACTAACTACAGTAAACTTGTTGTAGGCTGCAGGTTTCGCACTTTGCATTGTAATTTCAGTATCTAGTAATATTTGTTTTACAAAATGTTTGTTCGACATCTCTAAAGCTACTGACGACGCAACGTAGAAAATTCGCGCAAAGAGTTTTCGCGGAAAGTTCTATTGCTTACAAGACAGACAGACCTCACAGTACAATTGATATAACTTGACGCAAATAGCTGTCCCTGTCGAAATTGTGTAATAAAACCACACCACAAAGATTGATATTACCACGTACGAGTGCAAGTTGACTTATATTGAGCAACTCTCAGAAGCTCACCAACAAATCTGACTGACAGTAACCTTTAAACCGCCTATTTTTCTCACAGACGTTTTTCCTATTACTCAAACCGATGTTCCAAATCGTTTTCCCTTCAATGTGTCAAATACTGTGGATGAAGAAGGACATCAGTAGGAAATCTAATAAGGTTTTGGATATTACTCCCAATCTTTTTGAACCTTTTTTCAAAAACTGTAGGTACTACGAGTATCTTTTCTTACATGCGAACTGCTATGACTCTACATTTGCACACATTACAAAGAGACAATAAGGGCTATATTTCACCGGGACACCATGGCGCCGCAACCAGTCGCCGGCTACCAACAAAATGTATAGAGCTTTGCACAACCAAACGGACACCAGGTGAGTAACTCTCTATAGAGCTGTATACATTTTGTTGGTAGCCGGCGAGTGGTTGCGCCGCCATGGTGTCCCGGTGAAATATAGCCCTAACGGTGCGACGTCTGCCGGACGAAAGGGGGTATTAGTCCCGAAGTCTATTCGTCACAGGAAAAGCAAGGGAAAATTCGTCACACAATTCATAGTTCGTGACAAATCAAAACGTATGTTTACAATGAATTTACTTTCTATGTACAAAACTAAAAAATGTGTATAAGTTTTTCAACAACCCGACGAAAGTGGTGGCTTAGTTCAAAGGGTCATTGCAAACGTTGTGATAGGGATAGAGACATGCGATTTTTGGTTTTACAAAGGTAATACGATAGAGAATAACAAAAAGTAATTTTTTGTAGAAATTTATCAAATAACCAAAAAAACACGAATTTAAAAGCAGATTTTTTTCAAAAAGTTTTTTTTTTATTTGTTGGCATTTTCTGAGTATTTTATGTATTTTTTTAGTATTGCCTGTTATTTTGCATTATTATTGTTTTTATTTTATCAGAATATACCTCTTAGTTTAAAAGTTATTACGTTTTCTTTACAATAAGTAATCGGAAGAAAAATTCTATAAAAAATAAAATAAAAAAAAAAACAAAAAAATTTTGACCTCTTTTTTGTCGATAAAAATAGGTCTAGTTTAATCTATTTTCATATGTACACTTTAACGTGACTCACACTGTATACAGTCTATATTGACGAGCTTTATTTTATTGTCGTGACGTCTACAGACGCCGGCCGCATACGAAGCTTTTGAGTAAGTAGCATTTTTAATTGATGTGGTGTAATGAAAATTTATCCCATTTTTAACTTTTATTGTATTCGGTTAACAGACTTTAATTTTGTTCAGGTGCTGGCAACGAAAAGAACGTAAAGATACAGTCAGCGTCAAATAGTCGTGTATTACGTCCCAATTTGAGAACAAACAACTATCTAATTTTAATCTTAGATTCCTTACTTTATTAATGGCTTTGCTCTAAAAATACCCAAAATACAGCATATGTAATTTCTTTGGCCGTTGGTCGTTACTACTTTATTTTACGTCATATCATTTCATTCATGTCTAAACGACACTGAATACTGCTCAAATATGCGCGGTGGGATGTTCAATGCATTTAAATATGCTATGGCAAGGGCTAAATAACCTCGTAATATTGTAATGGTTACGTTTCCTGAAGAATTATGACGCTTATTCTTTTGAAAAGGGTTGTTACATTAAATATTTAAGTGAAAAACAAGTGTTCTTCTACCCTCTAGGTGTAGGAACTGAGTTCACAGCCCTAGTGTCAAGTTTTATAAGAAGGTGTAGGCGTCTGATATAACCCCATCGGATTGATTGCATAATGTATGAATGTAGGCATCCTACAAAGCCTGAAATTATTTCTTTTTGCATATTCAGGTTGACTGAAGCCTACAATGTTAGAACCAACCAAATAATTTGATTTTTCAATTTTTGTCTCATCTGTGAATCAAATCTGTCCTTTCAATCATTGAAGATTAACCCGATGCCGCGATGGAAATAGGTTGTTGACGACAAATGACAGCGAGAATACTATGGCAACGATTAGCATAATAATAGATCGATATCCACGTGGGCGAAGTCGGGTAGAAAAACTTGTATAGAATAAACAATAAGATTCACGTGTTCCATCACTGAAATCCATGAGCATTTAGTAATATTCACCTGCTAGACACTTTCCAGATTGCCTTGCAATTTGCGCGGATGACAGTTCCTTAGTGGGGCACTTATTGGAAACCCTCTCACGTAGGGCTGCCATCTGCAGTCGGTGTGTTTTATTTTTAAAGTAGTCGCATGGTTTTATTAGTCTGGTATAAAAGCCTTTTTAATATTTCACTGTCACATCATTTCGACCAGATATAGGTAGTTTTAATTTAAGTAGAGCCACCGTTGTTGGTGCAAGGATTGACTACGTTATTCATTTCATTTCTTTAAAGCAAAGCACAAAAGCTGGATTTCTTTTATATAAAAATACCAACCGAATTGAGAACGTCCTTTTTTGTTGAAGTAGGTCAATGAGAATGTTTGTACCGCCTTAAACTGATTTTTCATCATGAACATCATTGAGGCTGTAGCCTAATTCGGGCCCATAGTTGATTTGTTTTTCTTTTATAATTCTGTCAACATTGCCAGCCCTAAGAGGTTTGTACAGTGCCCAGCAGGTTGCGATTCGGCACGAGGAACGAAGACGTCGCTGTCACCGGCAAGGGCTCGGGCGATCGGGACTTCGATTAGCACCCGTTGTGCTTCGGACTACGGAGACCGTAGTACGTGCATTTCTACCTTTGGTAAAATTCCTATTCATAGAAATAAAGAAGTTATTATTCTTTTATATTACTACGTTAGTTACCAGCCCTAAGATGTTCGTACAGCGCCCAGCAGGTTGCGATTCGGCACGAGGAGCGAAGACGTCGCTGTCACCGGCAAGGGCTCGGGCGATCGGGACTTCGATTCGCACCCGATGTGGTGCGGACTACGTAGTCCGTCCGTAGCGCGTGCATTTACAGTATTTTCGAAGCGTGTCACCAATAAATCGTGAATTTACCTGGCATTAAAAAACATAATCAAAACTAGAGTTAAGTGTCCGTTTAGTTTTAACTCGTAGTATCTATAGAGCTAGAATTGAGTTTAAGTTTTACAGTTTCGAATAGTTTTTCTTATTAATTTTCGCAAATAGCAACGCTTGATTTTTCGAAAACTGTTTGAGATAGGGATGCAAAAATGCATAATTTCATGAATTTTTAGTCACTAAGTCGCGTTTCATGCTTTCATGGGACAGCAACTTGCGTTTGTATATTTTTTTACTAAAGTAACCTCGAATAGTTTTCGAAAAATCAAGCGTTTAGAGCAAAATTTTTGGCCCATCCCGTACAAAATCACTTGATGGAAGAGAAAGTAAGAAATGATGGGAAATCTGTTACGAAACTTAATAACAGAAGTTTTATAGGTAGGTATTATCAATGCTATAATAGCTAACAATAGAACTGAATGGTCAGTTAGCTATTTTTGCTTGTCAGTCACATGCGAATTCATGACGAGTGTAATGATGACTAATTATAACATCTGTTGTGATCCGTCCAAGTTGACTAATTGATCACCTTCACGATAGTTAAAAATGGCCCCATTAGTGTTAAATAGCAGAACTAAACTATTGTTCACATAATCTATACTTCTATACTAGTTAATAACATTATAACGAGGAAATACTTGAAAGTTTGTTTGGTTGTATTGAATAGGCTCCGAAAAGTACTGGAACGATTTGAAAAATTCTTTCAGCATAATCCTACATTATTTTTTTCCCAGGTATTCCATACAAACTACTTTTCAAGGTAACCACAAGAAACTGGCTACAGACTTGGTCAATATACTGAACGAGTTATAGTCAAGCCGTAACACTGACTATTCCGCTTTATAGACTACAGACCTATTTCAAGACAACAAAAGATGTTTTCACTCTTCATTTGCTAAGTGCAGTTACTTAAATGTAAGTAAAGTAAACGTACCAAAATTTAAATATTTTAAAAAGGTATAAAAATACTAACATTATTTACAGTCGATACATAGGTAATTTGGAAAAAGTATACATAAAATATTATGTCCACGTTTTATTATAGGGTCGAAGACTCTAGTCATTTTATAGAAGCTCCGTCAATTCCATTATATTCAACAACCGTCGCAACGTGCATTCATGAACTTCGTATTATTATGACCATGATAATTACCAGATGCAAGTGAAAATTCCTACATCTCCATCCATAAATACAACAATATCCTAGATATACCTCCCACCTCGAAACTGTTGAAATTATACCGCGATACCAACATATTAGTTTACACTGCACATAATAAGTCTTCCTAAAATCCTACGGGTGGCGGAACCGCGACTAAGTTTGCAATATTATGCGATACAGGGAACTGTCAGGAACTGTAAGAAGCTCAGAACTACGGTATTTTGCTCGACAGGTGCAAAGCAAAGTAGGTAATTTGAATATTTTCTCTTAAGTTTCAAAGCGCATTATGGGATGACTGCTAGTTAGTAATAATAATAACAACTTTCAGAATTCATTTTTATTGTATACAATTTTGTGTGTAGCCTTTTTACAGAACAGAATTTCAGTGATATCGTGAAAGAAATGCATTTATTATTGTATAGACAGTTAAAAACAATTTTCGTTTTGAAGCACCGTCTTTGTTATCGATTTTTTTCCAATGATAGTAAGAGTATATTTTATTGTTTGCTGCATCATTGATATCTAAGTAGGTACTAACTACGTACCTACGAGTAGATAAAGTAAATAAAGATTAGTATACTCTTTAGGGATTGATTTATTGGTTATTTTTTAGACATGAGCATAAACTGTAAAGATTGATAGTAATCCAGCAGGATCTAACTAGGTATTTTACTCGTATAAACAACATGACGAAACAGAGCAACGCTTTCCACAAATGAATGTGTATTAAAAGAAATCTGTCCTTAGATATTGACATAAACAAAGTTCAACAACCTTGTAAGAAACATTTACAGAAAACACAAAAATTAAGAAAAGGGAACCGGTGCGTTATTTGTCAACTTTTATAAGCGAAGTTAAGAATAGACTGAATAAAATTCGGTAGATTCGCGGTAAGGCGCTGGACGCATTCGAGTTCTGGAAGCCGCGGGATACACACTTTTGTCTGAAAGTTTTAGCAGTGAAGTTCAAGGTCTTGCGGTGTCGGTTCAGTTAGTTCTAGGTCAGTTCTGTTCAAACTTGGTGTTAAAGTAAACAAATTGTATGATAGCTCGACGTAAGTCATAAAACATATTCATTTCCATTCAAGAACTAATACAAATTACATATTAACAGTTTCAACTACTTATTTTTGCATCATAAGCATTTAACCTCCAGTTTACATTCATATAAATAATATTTACACGTTACTCAGGTATTTCTGAATCTAGTCTGGCACTATAAATATCTAGTGTTGAGAATGCACCCACATAATCCAAGATTAGGACAACAAACATATGCGAAAAATAAATGAAATGTGCAGTGATAAATAAACAATTAATATGAAAAATCCAATAAAAAGAATACGAGATAGAAACTTCTAGTTATAAGTCTACTGAAACAAATCGATAGTCTAGCTAGAGTAACTTTTAAGCTGGAATTCTCGCCTCTAAAACTTTCTGTATCCTTTCATCGCGGTCAATGTTAACGCTAACAAAGTTTGCTTTTGCGAAATTCGCACCTGTTGATACGGAGGCGATTGCCGCGATCGCTGAAACATCGCAGGTGAGCATCATCCACTCGTGCGCAAGGCGCGTGGGCGGGCGCCGCCCGCCTCAGTTAGAGACGGGCTAGCAAGCCGCTCGCACGAACCCACGCCGCACAAGGTACAAAAAACAAAAAACGCCGCTTTATCTAACATTCGCACTAATATGCCACAGTCGCGCACTTGCAAACGCTAATCACCTGCCGACCTCGACATCCATGACTAACTTCACGTACAAGGTGTTCGGTTACAAAAATAATCCATCATGACTTCACAGTACTGAAATAACGCGGACCGTTTTAGCGTGAAAGCGCTCCAGCGCTGAGCGAAGCGGTTTTACATGCACGTCTTCATTACAGCTTGATTGATGTTTGTATGACCGTAGTGTCAATCAGCTTCTGCATACACTTAAAAGCTTTAAATGTCTTGTAAACATTTATATGTAACGTTTCATTCACGCAAGACTATTTTATTCATTTCAATCCGTGAGCAATTCAAAAAGATCAACGTGTGACGATTAAGCGTAACTCTTTGTTAATTCCATACGGTTTTGGTCTAATATTAGTATGTTATTTTTGAATATCGTGTAGTCTGCATTATACGACGGGATTATTTCTAACCTTGATGACGGTATTGTTAACCTTGTTCTTCTAAAAACAACTCTTTTGACCTTACGTCTCGTCGAAACGAATTTGCTCGCCCATGGCTGGAATAGTGAATTTATTCAACATTCTGTAAGTTACTTTGTAGAAAGCTCATTAAGTACGTGGCTAATCCTTTTTCCGCTTACATTTATGAAAACATTGTCTTTCTACCAATTTCAAAGACTATTTCTGTATACACTTAATACGTGTATTGTTATAAAGATTTTAGCCTCAGATTGAATATAATAATTTTCACAATCGGAGTAATTCAGTTTACTGTCATTGGAATTATTGTCTCCAACATTTGAGTTTTGATGCAACGAATGAATTCAGAGCAATAAAGCTTAACAAACAAGACGTATTTTCATTGTTGTAACAAATAAAAAACGGTGTATTAAATCCGAAAATAAGCGCCAAAATATTTATTACATGCTCGAGCAAGTCCAACACGAAAATAGACTATATCTCTCGTCGTTCTCATTATATATCGCATCTTCGAAAGAGTATGTACGATAACAAACTGTCCAGACGCCTACGCGAATTCTCTTCGCAAACGCCAAATTGTGCAGGGAAATAAAACTTCAAAGAAAGATTGTGATCTTCGTCTAACGCCCCTGGCGACTGCCGGGCCCGTGAACTACATTCCCTGACCTCTAGTGTGTCGTCTATTGCACTTGAAGTCTCGGACTCACCTTTTGAATGTCAATGTACTCAAACAACTGACAATCGAATCCATCCCATCATTTAGTAAAATACAAAACATAATTTACATTGAAACATAAAAGCTTATCTAAAGCACTACGAGTATTTCTTGAAAGTTCTTCAATTTTTATTAAAAAATCATAATTCTCTAAGATCGAAAGCTCTCATTTTCAGAGCTAGGCAAAGCATGCTGAAACTGAAAGTCACAGTATGTCACATCGAGATACTTTATTCTACCTAGTTGTCTATTTATTCATAAAACATTTGTCTGAATTTTAAGAGTTCCATGAAGATTAAGTATTAATTAATTAAAATAGCTTTATCTAAAATCTAAATTAATTAGATAAATACAACTATGACGCCACTGGGTAAAAGCCAAGCGTCGCGCATATAATTGTGTGACATTAAGTCAGTGTTTTCATTGTTTCCTTCACTGTGAGTCGTTTCTACGAAGTGATCATAGTTCACTTGTTTTAGTACTCTGACGTCAACCACCTTGAACTCTGACTAATTTCAGTTTCAGTAAAATTGCAGACAATGACGTCTTGTTCAGTTTACAGTAACTTTTCTGTTCCTTCTTAGTTAAGACTTCAATGATCACACATGTCTGTCAACACATTTCAAAGATTTCATCGACTATTATTATATAGATTTTCTTGTAGGTTTTTTTTCATGAACAGGATAATTCTCAATCTTAACTTTGACAAATATCAGGTAAAAGTACAAAAAATAAGCTTCCTCATTACTGAAACTGCTATATTTAAAGATATTTTATACAGCATAGCGTCAGATATCTCAACCCGGCGCATTCCTAGAGATTTTCCGGTGTAACACGCGCGAGTTATGTTTTGTTTTTTCACTTGAACCGCGGCTAATTCAAGAGCGGGTGACTTCCGCGGCGTTTCGCAAGCGGCCGCCAGACAAATTACTTATAGACTGGAGAATTACCCAAGTGATCTGTCATCATGTACGGGACTGAATGTAAATGATTTGTCATGTAAGTCAAATAGTATGTTCTTATGCAAATTTAATAAGTACCTTCTATTGATTGACTATATTCAAAAATCGTGGAAAGCCACAACTCAACTCTGGAATTTAATAGAGTTTTTACTTATCTTTTAGTAATTTAGTTAGTAGTAGTTTGCAGGTTAAGAATAGTTAAAAGCTTAAATATTAGTTTTAAAGATTTACAAGATTTGTTCGACACCCACAATCTAAAACAAGTTTAGCCTCAAAGATAGATTTGTTGATTTAATGTCCGCTGCGAACACTCTACCGACATTAATGGTTGATTTCACGAGTGGATAAATAACTTTCCGACAGTCCTCGACAAATTAAACAGCGAGCGCCACTCGAAAAAATTAATATCCCCCAAATTGAACGATATGAGAAAACGTTTCAAACATCATTCATAACAACCAATAATCACCCGACGCCCGTTCAAAGTTAATATTGAAAACTTATTTCCACAAAGGTTACCTGTTTCAAGCACATTAGGGAAAAATATGATATCCGACGTCTCGGCGCGAATGGCAATAAAAACGAAATAAGAAGACGGTGTTGCCCTCGGCGCGATCTTGCGCGAGAGTAATAAAATTATCTCATGAGGATGATATAAATCGCCACCTTACTTCTTGACACTGCATCTTCAGCCATTAACGTTATTTAATACAAATACGCGTACTTAATAATTGCCCCATCGTTGTTCACTTCGATCACAATAGTGAAACAAATGACGGTGATTTACGAGACGCTTGTTATGGATCACGATTCAATTGTTTCATTCACTGCTTCCATTTCATCTCAAGGTTTGCGTCGACGTTATAAATGAAATTCAACTAGTCTATTAGAAAACTGATTAACTTGTAAAGACCTAAGCACAGATTACATCATTACTAATGACTTATTACCCTTTCGAGTCACAAAAGCTTCATTATGTTGAAATATGGACCTTAGATGTTGTAAGATAGCTGTGATTTTTCTACGAAAAAGCTCTATTTCGGTTCAGACTTAGTAACATGTCTTTATTAGGCCATAATGTGTGTAAGACATACATATTCGCAGCTCATAAACGAACTACTTCTCGTAGTCAAGGGTCATAAATTTTATTACACACTTGAGGAGGTAGTTAACACTAGTAGAAGGTTTATTAAGTGTGCGTACATAATATAAAGTTGATAATGAAGAACATAATTGAATCAAATGTAATAAAGTAATCAAAAGAACTCCTAGTCAGTTCTTGCTCATCTTCCATCAAACGAAACACGTACTTATAAATGAGAAAAATTCCCTGAAAATTGGTTTTTAACATGTCGATAGGTATGCAGACTATTGCTAGCTAGCCGTCCCGTGCTCTTACAGCGAAGTATCAAGAAATTTTGAATCCGTGATATCATGAAATATCCAAAAGATCATCATCATCATTTCAGCCATAGGACGTCCATTGCTGAACATAGGCCTCCCCCAAAGATTTTCACAATGGCCGGTTGGTGGCGGCCTGCATCCAGCGCCTTCCCACTACCTAAAGTTAAAAAGATACTAACGCATTAATATACTATGCTGAATGATAGAATCAATGAAAAAATAAATTCACAAATAAAACGTTTTTAAAATAAAAATGTGTGTGTACCTACTCTAGATCGAGCGACAAAACGAGCTTTCTCCTCAAACTTTCCTCAATAATTTTGTAGTTGTGGTTTTACGCGTACCTAACGAGCTATTTTGGCTCTAAATAATTAATTTATTCTAGTAAATATTCCTTTACAAAATATTGATTGTTTCTGTTCCAAAACGTAGAAACTAGAGCTTGTTATCAAATTGATCTAATGTAAACAATAAGCTGTAAGTTCAACTATTTCCTAACCAAGCATTTTGTTTGCAATTCCAGCGCTGAACGAACGACTCAAAGATGGCCACCGGCCCTAAGATAGTGCACAAGCAGTTCAACTCGCCCATCGGGCTGTACTCGCAGCAGAACATCCAGGAGACCCTCAACAAGCACATCTCCAACCTCGACAATGGCTCTGTAGGGTGAGTTTCAACTAAAGAAAATAGGCCAACGCGACAACGGTGAAGGTCGAACTTGCCGACTTGAGATCCTAAGAAGCGGTGAACCCAGCCGACGCTAGACTATTGTCGTGAACCCACTCCATGCTTAATGGTTACAGTCTAATAGTTCATGACACCCAAAGTGGCGAGAAAGTTGATAACACAACCTTATTCCATTTGTCAAAGACGTGTTGCGTACTTTTTGGCTATTTTGGGTGTCACACACTATTTGATGCTGTAAATTTTACAATACAAAAAGATACATAATACAAATTTTCCCAGATACAGATAATTTTAATTTAGCAGACTCAGGAAGGCCTTAGTCTGGTGAACCCAATGTCCAGCCAAGTTCAATAAATTTAATGCCGTTGTGCTTTTTAGTCGCATTGTCGCGGCTCACATAAAAAGCGAGCTCTTATAACTTGATAAAGCATAATGTCCAGGACAACGTCTACAAGCTAGCTAGAGAGCTTTATGAAACTTATTATTAAGGTAGATCCAAACGTATAATTAATTATATGTTGCAAATCTAGTGTTATTTGCTTACTAAATAAACCGCAATTTGAGAATTCTTTATAATATTCTATTCGAGTAAAGCCAGGGTTAAAGCTAGTTAGCTATCCCAGCGAGGACTCGTTACCAGGATTCTTTACCGGAGTCCCCACGGAGCGGGGCTTTCGTTCAACTTTCGTAAATATTTTTACCTTCTAAATCTATTGCAGGAATTTCACCGTGGATTTTTCATTTTCAATGTAATTTATTGTGAAAAAATTTTAATGAATGAAGTCTTGGAAGTAGAAATACGACAAATAAGTGATTATATGGCGTATTTCTACTTCTAAGATTTCATTAATTACAAATTTTTCACGAATTTCGTGAAGTGCTCCACTTCTGTGAAATGATTTTGGTACCTACGATTTCATTATGTCTTAGTCAAAATATTGTTACAAAGTATTTTAGCTTTTATGAATAAGATAATACTTAGGTACTTATTTAAAAAATACCGAAACGCGAAAGCTAAGCTTAAACATAGCTGTCATCCACGAGCATTACTCGATGCAATTTTCGAGATCTCGATGCACTTACTTGCATTTGCTTTTAGAGCAGCTGGGTCAACACTCTTGCAGATGGGATTCCTGAGATACGACTAATAAATACCTTCTGATGCGCTTGTACATATTTATCCCAACTAATATTATAAATGCGAAAGTAACTCTGTCTGTCTGTCTGTCTGTCTGTCTGTCTGTCTGTCTGTCTGTCTGTCTGTCTGTCTGTCTGTCTGTTACGCTTTCCCGCTTAAACCTCGCAACCGATTTTGATGAAATTTGGCATAGAGATAGTTTGAGTCCCGGGAAAGAACATAGGATAGTTTTTATCCCGGTTTTTGAAACAGGGACGCGCGCGATAAAGTTTTTCTGTGACAGACAAAATTCCACGCGGGCGAAGCCGCGGGCGGAAAGCTAGTAGAAGTATATTTATAAAACGGTCCATTTTATTTCTGTAAACATGGCAGAAAAGAGCAGCTAAAATTGTCTCATTAATATTAATTATGTCCTGTTTAAACTTGAGTTTTTAGTGATGAATTTATGACTCTACTAATCTAGAAAAATTATCGTCATATAAACCACAGAAAAAAAGTAAGAAATGTAATACTGAGCATTGACTAGAAATAAAAATAGCGTTTTAAGACATGAACAATAAAATAATATTTTTTTAGAACTTTCGGCTCTATGTGTATAAATATTATTATGAACTCGGAACCTGGACAGAGTGGAAAATTATTAATGAAAAGTTCAAAGTTTATTTGAATATTTGTGAATGTTTTTAAACTAGAGAGTTGTTGTTGACACAATTTTTGTTTTAGAAAAGGTTATTACCACATTTTGTTAAAAAAAAATGTTTTGTAATCTTAATACTATAAAACTACAATAGAAAATGGCCGCGCTTTGATAACCAACCCTAGAAATTTTCTAGGTAATACTATACCACCAATAAGATACACCAATAAGGTATGAGTAATTGATAACACAAATACATTGATATTGTCTGCACTTAGCTTAATTTGCCAAAGTTACTAAGTTACAAATATAGAAATCTTTTTGAAATAAATAAGTATTTACTAAATTATTTTTACTCATGAAAACAGTTTCTGGCTCGAATTCTGAAACGAAAATTCGATTCAGACTCTCCTATGATTAAATTAAAGAAATACCAACCGTGAGAGATAGTGATTTTCACAATCATAATTAAAGCAGGGTCTAAGTACCTACTTATTTGTCTAATTATTTAATTGTACTCGGTTGATTGTAATATGAGACTATTCACAGAGATGTTTGCTCACCTATCACTAAGTTCAGTCAGCATCAAAAAATTCGAGACACCCAAAGTAACCAATAAGTTCGCAATACGTCTTTGTTACAATAGGAATAAGGTTGTTGTCAACATTTTAGCCACTTTGGGTGTCACGAACAATTTGACGCTGACTGTACATACAATCAACACTACGTATTTAACGTATGTAACGGATTGATAAATTAATTGATGAATCGATGCGGTCGCGCCAATAACGTAACCGTCAGTCATGTACTGATGACAAGCGTGCAATTTGTATTGATTGGTTATTAAAATGACAGAGAGTCTGTGTTATTTTAAGAAAAAATTGAAAATAAAATTTACATTTGAAATAAAATAAATAAATATACAAAGTACGTCTTCTCCTCCATTTCGTCTTTTTCATAGTTAAATATATCAACAACGCCATCAGTTTTTCAGGCGACTAGGTATAATTGCTGTTTTAAAAAAAATATCTGCGGACAGTGTGTAATACATATTTTGTCAGTTATCAGTTGAATAGTATAGTTTCAAATCTATATTAATGAAAATCAGAAGTTAAAAATAAGCAATTCCATTGAGCTCCAAGTGTAAGTAGTAGAGTAATGATAAGTGGAATCGTCTCTACCAATTAATCGATTGTCACCTAATTACACTACAACCCATTCGTATTGTAAAAAACCTCAAAATGATTTGCAAATAGTCATAAATAATTAACACGTCTAAGAATGTTTCGGAAGCTGATCGGATAGCGATCAGCGTGCCAATAAGCGCTTGAGTCATGCGGAGTGCAGTAGTGACGTACAGGATGTTGCGCCCTACTTACAACCGCGGACACAAGGAAGTAGGAAGGAGGATTTTTACTTAAAGGATGTATTTAAATTACTGCAAACAGGTAATAAAAATCCTAATTTATACAACTTGGAGTGCCTAAATTAATACAATTCTAATCAGTGCAAGGCTTGAATTGCTTCTAGGTTATGCAGGCTTCATCTTTGTTGGGGACATTCAGGATTTTTTCCTGTATTACATACCCACCTATTATACGGCGCCATCGTTCGTACTCGTATTAGAAGTACCAGACAATGAATAAATAAACATAAACATAATATATTATACATGGAAAATGCCTAAGTAGATCCAATACAAATGCAACCAAATTGTGTGTTGGGTGTGGGGTATGGACCTCAATCTCTAGCATAGAGACGATTACTAGCCACTGCGATAAATCTGTCGTCAAAATGGCAATAGAAAAAGTATTTTTAAGTGTCGTTTTGGCTTAAATAGCATCGGATGGACCAGTCAAGCGTTACTTTGACTGAAAGTCCAGAACTACAACAATATTCACTTTTCATTAACGTCAAGAACAACTCTTTGTTTCTTCGCCCACTTCGTAATTAATTCAATTGTAACTGGATATTTTTCTTGTTTCGTCTGAAATTAATATTATTCCGCTGGGGCTAAATAAAATTAGATGTAATGGCAATCAATATTATTCGTAGGAATTTATTCCTGGCACTATATGACTCTACATTTATTTTAATTGATAGTACACTAATTTATTTTAGAATAATGGTATTAAACATTAGAAAAAAATTGTTAATGAAGCCCACATTGTTCTTCTGTTGTCTCATTACTCGTATAATAATTGAAGTAATAGTTACATAGTAAGACTTGTGTAGAGTCAACAATATAATAAATGTATAATAATTAATAGCTAACTTCAGGTATAAAAAACGGTTTAGTTACGTTAAAGACTGGTATCATAATTACAAAAATGATGTGCATTTTAGGAAAAATATAAATCAAAATCAATTATTTTTAAATAAAAAATGCCTAATTCCGTAAATGGAAATCCTATTTCTAAATAACCTATTGACCCCTTGAGTGTTTAGTTAAATGTCACGCAATGATTATAGGAATTGCCCCCATTGTAGAATGCTTCCCAAGATAAACAGTGATGGGCCGATTTGAATGCCGTTGACCGTTCAATTATGGAGCGTGAACACGGGGCACTGACATTTACGTGGACGAAATTTAGCACCGAGCCAACATCGCTCGCATTCCGCCATAAGCATGCGGATCATCAAAGAACTCGGCTCACACACATCATGCAATGTGGAAGCTGTCTTGTGAGAATATGCAAACACTGGCCAGTAGCCGCTAATGGAATCTGTTGCCGTTTATGTACAAAAAAAGAAAATGTAGATTATCCTCATCGACGAAAGACAAAAAAGAGGCGAAGGCATTAATCAATACAGCCAAAGACGTTTATTTTTTATTTACCTACCTGTTTCAAAGTTTTCAATATTTCTAATACCTACTTTATGTTTTTAAGAGCTGTTTTTTAAGTAATTTGAAATTAATGCCTAGGTAATTATCTAACTACACGTTATACATAGTGCGGGAATTCTAAGTTTTTTGCGAATCGTTTACTTTTAAATTAATGAAAGTAAACCACAACATCTGATATAATGCCAGATAATTACACATCCTAGCCCATATTTAGATTGCTCTACATTTTAACTAACTACTCGTGCGAATAATTGCTATGATGTTACCGATTACCAAGCTCGGTGTTCCGACGCAAAATCGCAAAAAAAGGCAAGATAACAAGCAAATGAGGAAGGCGCGCGCGCAACAGTCGCGAC